AAGATGGCACTGTGTGACAGCAGCATGGGGACGGCCACCCGCATCCTCGGGAGAAATTTGGGGTGCAGGCCCTACGCGGGGGTCGGGGGATGAGCTGCCTCCCCTTCCAGGCAGAGGTCACGGAGGGACGGGGCTGCAAGCTCTGCCTGTGCGACCTGCGCAGCCCAAATGTCAGGGCTCAGCTGGTGATGAGCAATTTTAGCTGAAATATTCACCCGGCAGAGGTGGACGGCAGAGATGGACCTTGCCCACGGCTTGTGACTGCTTCTTCGTGAAGACCCACCTCCAAGAGAGCATCCTGCAAGGTTGCTTGGGGCTCATGCCCTGGGGAGCTGCTCTGCAGCATCAGCACCCTGCGGTGCCATGGGTGCCACTACCCACAGACCGGAGACGGACCTGTCCCACCAAAAGCGTGAAGGGAAGAGGCCAGAGACCTTGTCTGGAGCATCTAGGCTTTGCTGAGGTCAATGTATCTTTTCACTAACAGAATCCCGGGCTGGAAGGACCTGGAGAAGTTGGTTTGTCCCTCTCTACCCCAAAGCAGGATCATCTCTCCCTAAAAGGAGCTGCAGTCCATCTTCCTCCTCTGTCCCTGCATGGATGGGAGACACTGTGTGATCCCAGCCTGTCCCCAACATCAGCTTTAGGTCATGCAGCTGTCCGAGCGTCCTGTGGCCTGTTGTGCTGGTCTCGGTGTGCCAAGCCGGGGATGTGTCCGGTGTGCCGGGTCACGGGGAGGGCTCAGGGCGCTGTGCCGGGTCAGGGGGAGAGACAGTGTGAAGACTGGTGGGGGGGGACCCAGAGACCCCTTACCACATCCTCAGGATCCACCCAAGGGCTGTGGCTTTCCAGGTTGGAGCTGATCCTCCTTGAGATCTTCCAGGTCCCGCTCTTCGTTCCATCCTGCACCTGGATGTCATCTGAGATGCCTTCAGCCTTGCAGGAGGTCCCTGTAGAAGTGACTCCCTCTTGCTCCGAAAAGGCCCTTCCTTCATCAAGCTCTTTCTGTTTTCTCTCTTTCTCTCTCTCTTTTTTCTCTTTTTTTTTTTTTCATGGACATTAAAAATCTGAAGGCATATTTAGAGAGCAGACAGCTTTGGGCGGGTGTTGCTGGCTAAAAGATCTCTTCCTTCCCCAGATTCAACCCATTTGTCTGCCTGGCCACCCCCTCCCGCCCCAGGAACGGCCGCGCTCGGGCGCACAAAGATCTCCCTGGGATGAAAGTCGCCGGATAAAATATTAGCATCAGGTCGCAGCATTCCTTCCCTCCTGGCCAAACTCGCATTACCGATGATGAGGAGCTGAGCTGCGATGCCTGGCCGGTGATGCAAGGCTCGATTTTTCCAGCACGGTTTTCCCTCGGGCTCCTCCGTGCCCTCCCGCCGGTGCAGCCGCGGGGGCGCCTGGGGGGGGGCCACGGCAGGCCCACC